AACCCAAAAAAAAAAAAATATTAAATTAAATTAAAGTGCCTAGTAGTCATATCATATCGCATCTAACTGCCGGTTGCGCAGTTAGATGCGATATGATATGATCAGGAGTAAGATAATATAGGATCTACCTATTATTAGGATACCTAGGATCTCCTATATTATCTTACTCCTGATATGATTACTAGGCACTTAAAAAAATAACCCTAACCCTAACCCTAAAAAAAAAAAATATTAAATTAAATTAAAGTGCCTAGTAGTCATATCATATCGCATCTAACTGCCGGTTGCGCAGTTAGATGCGATATGATATGATCAGGAGTAAGATAATATAGGATCTACCTATTATTAGGATACCTAGGATCTCCTATATTATCTTACTCCTGATATGATTACTAGGCACTTAGGATATGACTACTAGGCACTTAAAAAAAAAAACCTTAACCCTAACCCTAAAAAAAAAAAAATTAAATTAAATCAAAGTGCCTAGTAGTCATATCATATCGCACCTTTCTGCTGTTTGCGAAAGAAAGGCAGCCGGCTGAAAGGTGCGATAGGATATGTTTACTAGGCACTTCTAATTTTAACATATATTTTTAATTTAATTAGGGTCAGGGTTAGGGTTAGGGTTAGGGTTAGGGTCATTTTTAGGGTTTTTGCATCATTCTTTAATATATCGTAAAATATACGTTAAAATTAGAAGTGCCTAGTAAACATATCCTATCGCACCTTTCAGCCGGCTGAGAAAGAAAGCAGTTTGTTGCACTGATCTCTATAATATATAATAGAGATCAGTGGTTTGTTGCCGCAACAAGGAGGGAACAAGTCAATTCATATAGCTCTAATTCATATTGAAATCTGAGTTATTTTGATTCATTGGAATTTCAATAATTCCCATTAAAATTTTCAATATTTGGATGCTTTCAAAATAGCCTCAGAATGCTGGAAATAGCACTTTAGAGCGTCTAGATTTCAAATTTTTCGGTGGGGGAGGCCTCCAGACACCCCGTTCGCACTTCGAGCTTCCGGCGTGATTTTTTTCCTAGGTCAATCAAGAACATAGGGCTCTAGCGAGCGCTGCCATTGGTTGATACAAATCACGTGCCTCAAACTCCTGTTTTATGGTGCATTCACTGCATTGTGACCCTAACCCTTACCCTAACCCTAACCCAAACCCAAACCCTATTTAAAAAAATATATAACAAATTTAATTTTTAATTGTTGTAAAAATTCATTGTTGTCATTAAAATGTTGTAAATAAATCATGTAAATATTTGCGTTAATTGGAAAAAAAATGTTAAACAGATAAAGATAAAAAAAATACAGAAAACAGGAAAATAATTAGAAAACGGATGGGATTCGATTCACCGACCTTTCATACTTGACGCTCGCGCTGTACTCGCTAGGCTATTGAGTCATATTGGAATTAATAATTTTTGATGTGCTATGTATGTGACAACACTGTGACGTCATTGAGCGACGAAACAAGCTCAACCAATAGCAGCGCTCACTACAGCCCTATGTTCTTGATTGACCTAGGAAAAAAAATCACGCCTCCGGCGCTCCTGTCGTGCGCCACATCGTCAAAAATATTCATGTTTAGGGTCCCAATTTTATTAGCTCATCGTCTTGTAGCTCATTCCCTCCTCAACTTAAGGTATAGGGAGGAAATGCAGAATTGCGGCACAAATCTAAACGGCTCAACCTTAGCTCGACCTAGGCTTGTGATAGACTGTGTATAGCATCATGGTAGGAAAAGCCATCACTGTGCCGAAATTGGAGGTCACAGGTTAAGGGGCAGTGGGGGAAAGGTCAGATATCAGACATTTTCTGAGGACATGGGCTAACGGACAGAGTGAAAAACTTTTTTGTTTCCGTGCTGACCTACCATTTTTATCACTTTATTGAAAGGACCATGAAATGTGCTTTCCACTGACTTGCGAAGAGTAAGTGTCTGATAACCTTTTGACCCTCAAGAGGAGGGTTAAACATGGATTCCTGAACTGATGATGATGATGTCACAGTCATGGCACATCCATAATCTGGAAACTCACTATGCCTCAATAGCCTAACAGCTACAGCACAGCATTATGGCTCAAAGGTCCTTGGATCGAATCCCATCAGATTTTTTATTATTTAACTGTTTTCTGTATATATTTTTCTATCTTTATTCATTTAACTATTTCTTTCCAATTAAGGAAAATATTTACATGATTTATTTACAACAATTTCATAACAACAAATAATTTTTACAATAATTAATTTTTTTTTAATAGGGTTAGGGTTAGGGTCACAATGCACCATAAAACAGGAGTTTCAGGCACGCGATTTGTATCAACCAATGGGATTTGGGAGGTATACAGAATGCAGAAGGTTGCTGAAATGATGTGTACGCAACTGTGTATCTGCATATCTGTGTAATAATGATTTCCTTCTTCTCATTTGTTATCCGTGATCGTATATTGGTTCGTGGTCTACGTAGCTTATTAGATATATCGTTGTATGTATATATAACGCTCATATAACACACTGAACAATGGATGCACGTATTGCAATCACCAACATCTTTACTGATCCATATAAACTACACATATAATATGTGCCCCTGTACTGTGCCGAACATATACAAATAGGTACGCGACATACAAACAGAACTTACATATCAGACGGTGATCAGCTAGCCGTAACCGCAACAGTAATAATACTATAGAGATACGTGTGGTCGCTAAATCGCAAAGTGCGGAGAGACTGATAATTTTCTGGACGTCACCTTATGTAGTGATGCCATCCGCATTGTTTTAGCCACCGCGCCCCCATTGGTCGAGCCATCTTGAGGGACCGCTGGTCAAACGTGACCCCTACACGCGTGTTGTGATTGGTTGGCTTGGGTCGCTAGCCACGCCCTGCGTTGGGTAAGAACAAAGAGACAAAGAGAACTTGTTCTTACCCCTGCTAACTTGGCCTTCTTATTCGTATTTCTGATTATTATAATTATTATGACCTTCTCTTTCTTTCTGTATTACATCTAGAAAATAGTTTATAACCGTAGCAACAGACCTCACATGAGCCCAGACGCTCTGCAGCTCTTGTTTTTGATTACAGGCCCCCAAACATATTGTGACGCCACTGAGGCTCATAGGGTCTATGTTCTCCAGGGTACTGCCGGAACGTACCCTGGGTACGGTCCGTTATACCGGAACGTACCCTGGTAACTATTTGATATGGTTAGGGTTAGGGTTAGGGAATAGGCGTAGGCGACTCCCTAGACTCGTTAGTGGAGTAGGCGAGGTACGGTCCGGCATATTAGATAGTACCAGGGTACGTTCCGGCACTACCCTGGGGGACATAGCCCCTCTCAGCGCCACTGAGGTCAATCGGGCATAACCCATGATTACTTAGATATATCAGGTATGTGTGTGAGTACGTGCGCGTTTAGGCCTACATGCGTTCGTGCGAGTGTACGTGCGTGCGTGCGTACGCGTGCACGTGCGTGAGTGCACGTGTACGTGCGTATGTACGCGTGTACGTGCGTACGTACGCGTGTACGTGCGTGAGTACACGTGTACGTGCGTGCGTACGCGTGTACGTGCGTGCGTACGCGTGTACGTGCGTGAGTGCACGTGTACGTGTGTACGTGTACATGTGTGTATAATGAAAGAAATGTCATCGACCAAGCTTTTACTTCTGCGTATATAAAAATTACTAGCAAATACCCGTGCTCCGCACGAAGTTGAATGGTTGGCCAAAGTCGACTGTGGCATATTGTAAACCGGTAAATATTTGCGGCTGGTTTTTTGCGGTTCTGGTAAAATTTGCCTAAAAGATCGAAATTTTACCCTTTTTAAATTTGCGGACATGAAGACATCCCTTCAGTGTCCTCCATAAAAGCAGCGAAATTTAAACAAAACAGCAAGTTTTTAACAGGGTTACAGTACTTAGTAGTAGATTGATATTAGAAGTTGGGTCGGTTATGGGGGTGGTGCTACCTTAGTCCTTTAAAATATTTCCTTGTAGATGTCATTTTGCGTGAGGGTCCTGTTGTTGAAACGGCCTTGTGATGAATGTTTGTTCACTTTGATGTAGATGTTGGAGTAGCCTCTGGCACGTGAAAAGGCAACATATAGCTGGCCGTGGGAGAACACGGGCTGGGAGGTGGAGTCCGAGTTTGTCGAAAGTCTGGCCCTGGGACTTGTTTATAGTCATAGAGTAGGCAAGTCTGATTGGAAATTGAATCCGCTGTAGTGTGAAGAGAAGGTTTGCGTCGGATGGGGCAAGTTTAACACGCGGGATGAGGACTTTTTGTGAGAGGTGGCTTCCAGTGAGGATTTCGGCATCTAGAATATAGTCGTGGAGGTTTGTAATGTACAGTCTGGTGCCGTTGCAGAGTCCTTTAGTTATATCTAGGTTGCGTAATAGCATGATTATTGCTCCTAGTTTTAAAATGAGGTGGTGTGGAGGCAATGCCGGTAGGGGTGATGAACTGAAGAAATTCCATGGGGTAGTTGTTGGCCTCGTTTTCATCATGCAAGATGGCTTTGTCTGCACTGGTGTAGGTTTTGGACAAACCTGGTAGTTTTTTTATGACTTTGTCATTCAGTGTCAAAGTTGTCTCATTGAGAGGTGTGAGTATCACAGAGTTAGACAGTTCTTGAGGAACGGATACATTGGTAAACACAGCATCCACTATAATGTTATATATTGACTAATATTATAAGATATTATAAATAAACCTAATAAATAAAGCTA